AGAACAGGAAGAAGTTTGCTGACTTTAAAAAACAAACAGAAAAACCCCAAAGAAGCGTTTCTGGTAGCCACGGAAAAGGCAGATGAGAACGGGGGGACCCAAGACGGTCGGACCAGCTTAGGGGCCGGCCGAGCGGGACAAGCTGCTCTTCAAGCGGAGGCTGACGCCGATGAAGGGGTTCAGACACATCGGCACTGCAGAACGCCAAGGGGGAGAGAAAAACTGGCAAAGATGTGGGACTTGCACGTGCGCAGGGTAGTGACACCGCTACCTTCAAACCACGAGGGAGGCAAGGACAAGGAGGTCAGGAGAGTCACCTGTCCATGCACTAAAGGCCATTAAATAATCCGCCCACTTGCCTGTATCAAGTAAAATGGGAGCTCTTCTCTCCATCCCGTCCACTTTCCAGCGTGGGAAACATGGAGCGGCTGCACGCCTGGGTCACAGGTACCAGCATCTGTCCCGGGACAAGGAGCCCACGGCGCTAAGGTGGGAGCAGAGTTTTCAATGCACAAAGCAAGCCGCCATGCAAAACCGCACGTAAGAAGAGCAGGACCACCCCGCGCAGGCTGATCCCGCAGCTCCTGCCAACGTGGCACACGGGGAATGATATCGGGGTGCGGGGGGCTCTCGGCCAACGCTCGTGTGCTGAGCCCCGCTTCCCCATCCAGGCTGTTTCTCCTTCAATAATCCCAGCCACTCCTGACTAGAAATGAGGCTTCCTGCCTCCGTTTTATTTTATGAGTTGGAACAGCAAAGAAAGGCAGAAAGATGCTTTCTCCCCCTCCTAACGCCGCTAGGGAAGGCAAAGCTATGCGGTTCCTCCCAAGAAGGGAGATGGCCCTGTAGCAAATAGTCAGTTTTCAAAAGTTTCTGATGAGGAGCAACTGTCCTGGTATCTAACGTTGATCTCTGAAATACTGGCACACAAAACACAACATCCTTGGGAAAGCCCCCGCGTGTACACGGAGACGATAAAGCCCTGGCGATTCCGCTTCCCCCACAGTGCTAACGGTGCACTAGAAGTGAGAACAATCATCTGTTTAAATGTGGTTTAAGGAAAAGGAATCCTTACAGATTTGTCTGGTCTGCTGTAGAAACGGTGCTAGCAACACAGGCAAGAGCTTCCTGGACTCAAGGATGCAAGAAAAAATAAAAAATAATTTTAAAAAGTGTTAACTATGGAGCAACCCAGGGCTTTATAGACAGATTTAATGCAATCCTCAGCCATGTCTGCTCAGAAGGCACAATCACGCTTCATCTCCGTTTGCAGTAGTTACTCCTGCCTCCAGCGCAGTTTCAACCACAGCATGGACGGTATGGAACCGGCAAGTCGTCTTCATTAAACCTCTGCCACTGTTTACAGCAGTCCACAACCAGGCAAAAGGCCCGTTGGAGTCAACGGGCATTTTGGGCAGACTACGAACCACATTTTCCTTGCGGAAGATCTCGACCCAAATCCAGGCGTAGCCAGCCAGCACAGGAGCTGCGACCACTCCGCCCCACCTCGCCACCTCCTCTCCCGGGTGCCGCTCCGAGCGCACCCAGCACGGACCGTCCGCACACCCCGCCAAGGAAAGCGTCCGCTAGGAATTTCACCTGCGTTAAGGACTGCGGCGTGTTTGTTTTCAAAAAGAGAGGAAGACGGAAAAGAGATCATTAACAGCAGTACTACACGCAAAGCGGTGCAAGGACCAGACAATTCAGTCAGCAATGAAACACGTCCTAAGCGACCTCCCAGGCAGGCTGGCAGGCGCCCGCAGAGCCAAACCACGTCCCTCCTCTCGTGACTCCGTGGGAGTTTGCCAGACTTCACCGAGAGCTGACCTAACCGCCGGAAAGGATGGAACAAGAGGGTCCCTTAGGATGAGGGGTTGTTCTTTGGTGCACGCCTCGCTGTGGTCTGCAAGACACGAGTTATACATGCTGATCTCCTGGAGCATACCGTTATCCCGTACAAGACTAGCTACTTTTTCCCCCCGAAGAAAAAAACAAGAGATGTCAAAATTGCTTGCACTTTGGAAGATACCACATGCACATTTATCCCTTTCTATCCACTGACTCCCACACTAAACCGAGGTCAGTTCAGGAACAAACTAACAAAGAAAATTAACCCATGCAGCAAATCTACTCAATTTCTGTTGGTCGTCTTGTCCCAGGTTCCACTCTATCAGGCCAAATAAACATATTGCAAGTTGCCAGCACAAAGTATCTGCCTCTGCAAAACAAAAACGAACCCGAGAAACCTGGGGGCTTGGGACTGGCAGGAGGAATCCTGAAAGGGGGAGCGCCATGCACAGAGATCTGCAAAATCAATTATTGCATCAGCAAAACCAAGCCAAAACAAAAAACAAACTCCCCAAAAAACCATCCAAACAAAACATTGTCAACCATTAAAATAATAAAAAACATTAGTTTTTTGACATAGCTATAAAAATCAAGTCATTTATAAAACTGCAACAAATGAAGTCCGGTTGTGTATTCTTTTTCCTTTTATTAGACAGGACAGAGAATCTCCTTAAAATGCCATAACAAGTCACAGTGATTTTAGATGGTTTTTTGAAATGTAATATATTGACGGGAAATACCTTTAACATGGTTTAACTTTTTTTTTTTTTTTGTCACTGTATATGTACCCTGGTCCACCAAACCATCTATCTTAAAGTTTCTTGTTTAGAGAGGACACTCTGTCTTCTTCCTCCAAAAATGAATTTTGTCTAATAATCCTGCAAAATAATCAACCTTACAAAAGGCCTTCTTCAAATGTTATATTTATATATATATGTATATACATATATATACACACACACGTATAAATATAGACTTCTATGATTTTTTTTCCCATTCTACGCAATGTCTCAATAAAGAGATCAGCAATTTTTATTCTACAAAGAAGCAACACATAAAAGGGGAAAATTAAAGTCTTAAGAACATCATATCCATATTTCACTGATTACACATAAAAGGAAAAAAAATCACCATGAACAACTGTCTTTGAAGTTTTCTCAGATTAGCAAAAGTCAAGTGCAGAGAGGCCCCGTCTCTCGCTGCCAGCGGCAGGGTTGGTTCTGGGGGGCTGAGG